CCTTGTCTTCACTGATGAAATGGAGCTTTTCCATCTTCTCTTTCCACAGATGTAGTCAATTTGATTTCTATGTGTTCCATCTGGCGAGATCCATGTGTATAGTTTACAGTAGTAGGTCTCTCTAATCTGGGCTTGTTTATTTAATCTCTTTTATGTCTCGAGAAAGATTGCCTGTAGATACAACCGAATCCTGCAGGTTTTATCCAGCTCGTTAACATTCTAGAAGTAAGGATTGCAGCTCATGAATCTTTACGTCAGATCAGGCCTGATCATAGCATGGAGGAAGTGATGACGTTACATTAGATCTCACTGTGGGGGAATCCTACATCTGAACTGCCAAACCACGGAGAATCCAAGTCCAACCAAGTTGGCATGAAACCTTAGCTGTCACAGAGAGCGAGGGCTGTCCTCTAAGAATTTTGTGAGGAAATCTTAACTCCTCGCACCCTACAGCCCTGATCTTGCCCCTTCAGATTTCATTTTGTTCCTCAAACTTACAGAATGTTGAACAGAAACACACTTTGGGTCCCTCGAAGACGGCAAAGCTGCAGTTTTGACGTGGTGTAATAAACTCGCTTAGACTCTTTGTGCCCGCCTCTGTGCTGCAGCCAGCCACCATTGGTATACATCGGCCGGGGAGTGTCCAGTAGATTTTACAAATGAAGTTGCCTTGTAGCCCTGCCCCACCTCCTGTGCAAATTGAAGCATCTCAGGCCTACTGACAAGGGATTGGCCAGTTTGTGGCCATGCTTTGAAATAGACAATGAGTTTGTAGATCAAAGCAGTCAGCCCCACGGAGGTTGGCCAGTTAGAATGATGTCCGAAGGGAAGAAGGAGAAGGAAGGAAGCGAAAAGGATGCAAAGAAACCTCTAGCAGAGCTGTAGCATTGAACAAGGGCTGAGACATCGGAGACAGTAAGAGACCCCGAAGGAGCCCAGGTCGGCAGAGCAGGTGGTGACGAACGGCAGGGCCTATCCTCAGGGTACCCTGCGGAGCTGGGAGAGTTTTCCTCCATTGAAGAAGGGAGACTCTGCCCACATGCTTCCTGAACCTTCATACTTACCTGTGTTTCATGTGTGGTCATTAGAATGGTTCACTGAACCCAGAAGGGAAGGGGAGAGTCCTGTGGGAAGTACCATTGGTGACATATTAGTAAATGGTTGGAGATTAAGGTGGCTCTGATCTCCGCTTCGTGGGGATCCACCTTAAACTGACGCTGGTCATAATCCCCTCTGAAGTTAGACATGCTCTGTCTGACAAAGCTCCTAGTCACAATGTGCGGTTCTCTTACTTGTTAATATGTTACATACATGTTTGTGTCATTTATGTGTGTGTGTATGTCAGCAACTGTGAGATGTCACTATCTTGCAAAGATAATTTCAGTGCTCCACATAGAAAATTCTGATGTCATGACTGGATGCATTATGGAATGCACACATTCGACAATAGTTTATTGAAATTTTGTTTTTGGTATATTTTTTAAAAAGCTTTGCTCTAACTTTCCACCCCTGAGGATTTGTTACTTTTGTGTACTTGATTTATAGTTCCTAGGTATGTTGTATATAACTTGTATATAGGACGATAGAGCACTCTCTATAGAGGAAACCCTATACAGGGTTGGAATCAACTCGACGGTACTTAACAACAACAACATAGAGGAAACAGGAATCCTGGCGTGGCGCTGTGGGCTAATGCATCAGATTGCAGAGTCGCTTGAACTGCAAGATCAGTAGTTCACACTCACCAGCTGCTCCTTGGAAACCCTAGACAGGGTTGCTTTGGGTCGGAATCGACTCGATGGCACGTAACAATAGCAACATAGAGGAAATGAATAACTAAGTTCCTTTACTTTTCATTCACATCAACTGGAAAATACTTCATTAATGATGGCCTTCTTATTACAGGACTCACTGACATTCGACGATGTAGCTATGAAGTTCACCTGGGAGGAATGGCAGCTCCTGGACTTGGCTCAGAAAGACCTGTACTGGGACGTGATGCTGGAGAACTATAACAACCTAGTGTCTGTGGGTGAGCACAACTCTCCTGTCATTGGCTTTTCCTTTCTCAGCTTCTGAAACGCTTGGAGAGCATGTGGTATTCTAAAGTAGCGTTTTTCTCAGTTCACTCTAATTTAGCGGGGATTTTCTTCCTACTTCTGACAGAAAAACTCTTAACTTTGTACATTTGAAGGTTGATTTTTCTCAAATACAACATGCAACCTTTACCATCCGGAGGTCTATTTGGTGTGTCTCAGATTCTCTGATTTCCTACGAACAGGGTATAAAGTCAGCAAACGCGATGCACTGTCCTGGCTGGAACAAAGAGGAAAAGCATGGTTTACGTTGGAAAAAAGCCGTAGTAGAGTCTGTTCAGGTGAGTGAGGGGAAAGCGTAGGGGATGGATGTGGAGGTGACGTTGAAGTGAGAGGCCGCGTCACATCTCTGAGCGCTGTCTGAAGAGACATGAAAATTCCTTTGTGGAGCTTCTCCTCACATGAGACCTCTTTTTCGTTCTACTTGTTTTAGAGAAGTTGATACTCTCCTATTGCTCCTGAGGTCAGATCCCTATAGCTACACCTGGAGATATATAT